ATATATTATATAAGTATATATATATATATATATATATATATATATATATATATATATATCAAGCTATTCAAAAGATAATTACAAGTTATGTTTCAAAATCTTAAAGAATACAGTCGTGTGTCGAGTTATTCAAAAGCTATATATTTTTTGAGGATCCGACGTATATAACCCTAAAGACGAATTCAAAATTTGAAGTTTTCTACGACGTATTATAACGACTCTAAGTGGATGTACAAAAAAATTGGATTGACAATCAAATATTTGCAATTATTTATTGAATAGTTTTACGCAAACACACTATATGAATAAAAACTATTAAATTCTTGTGAACCCACACTTTACTCTCCGAAACAAATCCAAAAACACCACTAGTACACAATACACCATAAATTAATTAGCACTTCGACAACATATTGAAGTACAACCTAAGTAAAAACAAAATAACATCGATGGACAGGAGCGAATCGAAAATAACTTGAATTGATAAATCAACTGAACTGATAAACTTCATGAATTGAATCGAAAATAAGTGCAAACCCTTAGTTTTTTCTTGTCATGGAGACAGTAACATTTATAAACTCAGTTTTCTCTTTAGACATCCAATCAGAAATAATCTCTTCATATTTTTGGAAGACTAAATCCATTAATTTTGGATCAAATTGGCTCACAAGCAAAGGCTCAGCCACAGCTCTTATGGCCCTTGACAAATTGTAACCACCATTATAAATAATATTATTCTCATTATTATTATTATTAGAAGCATAATTCCAATGGACTCTTGTAGTTTCCAATTTATTAATAATGAATGAGCCTTCTTTATCAACTAAGTACTTCACTTCTGCTGGTGATGCTGTATAATTAGGAATGTTAAATAAATCCACTTTCTCTTCTTCTATTAATCCCTGCATTAATAAATATATAAAGTTACAAAATCGATATTATATATCTTTAGTTCATATTATCTGTCTTTTGAAATATTCGTATTACATTTAAGAATGATATTCAATAATTTTAATGTAAAGAATATTTTTCCAATTTTTTCTATCCTTATATTACTTAGTTTATTACATGATAATATCATTTTTAACTCTTTTGTGAAAATAATTTCATTATTATTAGCTCGTTTGTTTATGCTATAGCAAATAATATATCTTATTTTTAATTGCTTTCTTAATTTATGTATACCTATTTAATCATCAAATATTATCACATAAAATAAAAATTAATCATCAAAGAATGTACCTCAATAACCAATTCATTAAGGGCCATTCCTAGAAGCTCCCAAATATAACAACATTCTTTGCTAAAAGGATCTTCACTTTCTCTTCCTAAAAATGTTAATACCATTTTCCCACCTTTTATCAATTCTTCTGAACGATATTTCAGAAAATTTGAAAAATCTTTTTCGTATTGCTTGTAATATGCTTTTATAACACTTGGTGGACTTGTACTTGCCATGTAAATATTGCCCTTGTTCTTCTCAATTAAATTAGGAACCTGATACATAGATAAAAATAATAAATAAATAAATTATAAGAATATACAACAACAATAATAACATATTCAGTGAAACGTTGAAATCCCACTAAGTGGGATCTGAGAGGGTAAAATGTACACAAACTTTATCACGATCTTGTGGTGGTAGATATGTCTCAAAATAGAAGAATATAATAATTTGAAAACTAAGTAATTAATGTTACGAATAAAATATGGAAAAAAAAACAGTTTTTGCTCTTGATACTTATAAGTAAAAGTGAATATATATTTTTAATATAGTTGACAAGTAAAAGTAAACGAAAGGGATAGAAAACTACCTGAGATAGCCAATGAAGACTATAAGAGGAGTGAACAAAATGCAAACTCTTTGAAGGAAAAAGTCTAGAATAAAATGAGCCAGCCACACCACTAAAATAGCATGGACCAAATCCTTCTCCAAATTGCTTTCTCAAATCATGTTCAAATTCTCCCAATGATTGAAAAATAGTGTTAAAATCATTACTAGGAAGATCATTGAAGAGATAATGAAACTCTGGTGATTGAAATCCGTGCTTTTTTCGTTCTTTCTCGATGATTTTAACAAGCTCTGATACCACCAATAAAGTATTCGATCCAGAGGAACAACCCAAATCAGCAATGCATAATTTTTTTGGGAATAGGCTACAGTAGAGATCACTCATGGCTTGTTCTATTATTGGTTTTGTCATGAGAATGGCCTTTCTCTGTTCATTAAAAAAAAATATTATTTCAATTAACATTTCATGAAATTTTTATCAAGCGATATAATATAGTTATCGAATATATATTTAATCCTTAAAAAAACTATAGAGTTTTTTAAATTTTGACACATGTACAACTAGAAATGAATCTAGAATTTAAAGTTTGTATGAATTTTTATAGTACTCTCAAGTTAATACATATTTAGGGGATCGAGACAAAAAGTATTGATTCGAATCACTTAAAATGTAATTAATCATGATTAAATTATATATATCTATATATATATAGAGAGAGAGAGAGTAGGTAATTATTCTATTCATTGAATAATTAATATTTATATTTACCTGAAGCAAAGAATTGTTTGCATAGCTAATGTCTCCAATTCCTCCATTCATGTGAAGAACTTCAACAAGCTTCATATTTATTTATTTTTCTCTTGATTGATCTTTTTTTTTCTTTTTAAATGTGAGAAATCACTTTTTGTTTGATTTAGTCTATATAAATTTGTCACCTATTTATAGAGAAAAAAAATAGGAATATGTGGTTCAATATTAAAGTTTGATATCGAAGTTGATAAACTTTTAGTTTTATGCTTCTGGTGTTTTTTTAAAAAAACCAATAATATACTAAATTATATACTTTTTCCTATGATAATATTGATTTTTATGTAAATTTTAATAAACTAACATATGAGCATTTATGTGCTAACAGAAACACTAAACACACACACACATATATTGAGAATTTGAACCCATCTATTTTATCATTTTAACCCATTAAAAATTGGATTAATATAAGCTTAAAATTAACCCATAAATGTTTTTATTAAAAAATTAATCTTTTATTGACACGTTATGTATGATCATAATAAGAAAAAAGTTATTAGATATATAATTAAAAATTCCTACATTAATTATGAGAAATTAAAACATCATACAATATTAATATGTGAATATTCTATTTTCTGGAAATTAAATTCTCTTTACCCCATAGTATGACTTTATGAGAAATTAAATTTAAGGTCTTATATTTGGTGAGCATTAACTTTTATCATTTATTATGTCTGCAATGTTTATTCTTTTTTAAACGTGCTCATAATAATTTTCTCACATATTTGCAATCTGCACCCTTAATTTATACACTGTTATAATCTCGGGATAAAGGTCTGAAAAATATCTCAGTTTTGATTGAATTTATTGTTGCAATACCAAATTTTCATGAGTACGTATTACTTCCTCTGAACTATTTAATAGTGATCTTTTATTGTCTGAACTATTTAATAGAGTGTTTTAAAGATATATATGTATCTACACGGACGCGTCACTATTTACAATTTTGCATTATTTTTTTATGTCTATGTGGGTAAATATATATATATGTTTTTTTTAGAATATGGTATTCAGTAGTCTAGGGACGGTAATAGGTCCTCATAAAAGTTTAGTATCACAACAAAAGAAAATTCGATCAAAATTAGAGCATTTTTCAAATCTTTATCCCTATAATATATATATATATATCTTATTCTATATATTTTTCACTATTAGTCTATTTATTGTGGTTCGCCTACATATTTTTCGTGGTCTATATCATGCCTTGGTTTTCTTTTTTCAAGCAACCCTAGAACCAAAAGTAATAGGATTTGATTCTCATAATAATAAAATAAAATCTGTCAAAATATTTTTTATTAATTCTCATAAAATCATAAAATCTCCATTCTATAACCGATAAAAGGTGAAATTACAAGCAAAATTTCTCAAATGATTTAAAATAAATTAATTCTTGATATGAATATTTAAATTCTAGTTAACTACCCTTTTATTTGGTCATAAAATTAAAGCTTGAAAATTTAAATTTTTAAAATTATAATTTTTGAAACTTAAAAGTTACGTTAAGTTCTATCTTGTATGATGTATCAAAGCATTAATTCATGACCCATGGTTTATTGGCTCTCAATATCTCACAAGTCATAATAGACAATTAATACCTAAATTCTATCATGTCGATACATCTATAATTATATACACTCGCAAAATTTATTTACCATTTCATAAGTTAATTTCTCATATAGTCATTAAATAAATAATTTTTATTATAAAAAAGATATTATTTGATGATACAAATATTACCTTAATTAATAATAATTATCTCAGAAAATTACTGAAATTTATTTTATAACAAAAAAAATCATTCAATTATAACGATTTCGGTTACAAAATCATTCAACCATTTATGGTTGACAAAAGTTTCCACACAAAAGGTAAACAATTAACACATCAAGTAATGTAAGTTATATAATTTTATTTTATAATACAAATATCGCTATCGTCTAAATTCCTTGTCTCGATACTCAAGATTTAAAATCGAAATTTTTGATGAAGGGTGAAACACTTTCACCACTACGCCACAATCTATCTTAGATTCTTCCAATATACATCACAATATACATGTGCGTGGTCTAAATGAGCCAAGCAAACAACCACCTTGAAATTGTACTATACCAAACAACAACCTTAGTGCATTAATTGTTGAACATCGTAATGAGACATATATATGATTATTTATAATATCAATGTATTTATCGATCTTTGTCCTACTACTTTATCAAAGTCAAACGATTGTTGACCACCAGATCCTATAAAAAATAGCATAACTCAAATATTTGATAAGTTCAATTACTTTAAAGGAAGGTATCTCATAAAAATTGAAAAGACATTAAAACGTAAACAACATTCTTGTCCATAACATAACAAGTAACATACTTAAGAACAAAAATATATAGTAAATAATCATTTTTTTTATACTAAACTATATAAAAAAATGTTTTAAAAAATGACGTAGACGCCAAATTACTAGGATCCTACAATAGCTTTTTAACAACAACAAAAAAAAAGAGTAAGCATTAATAAAACAAATACTAGAAGGAAAAAAGAAAAAAATAAAGGAGTAATAATTAGTTATATGATAAATTTAGTAAAGGATTAAACTGCAATTACATGTTAAAATATGCCCTACAATGTTAGGGTATAGTATTACAATATTATAAAAAAAACCCTAACTCTCATATATTTAGATGGTAAATTGAACACAAAATTTTGAAAATAATGGAGTGAGAATAGTACCTTAATTATGTAACAAGAATAATAAAAAAGAACTAGACTACGACAATAACATATTCAGTGAAATCACACGAGTGTAATTCAGATTGAGTCATATGTGTACACGAACTAATACCTATTTTATAAGAGTAAAAAAATTATTTCCAATCGACCCTCATCTCTTAAATAGAACATATTAAAATAAATAGAAAAAATAGAAAATACCAGTAACAACAATAAATAATGCAATATTACATTTCTATCGATATCAAGTAGGTAAAGAAAAAACAAATTTTGATTAGCGATCTTTTATATATTAAAAAAAAAGGTGAAATTATGAAAACTCTTTTTAAGTTAAAAAATATAATAAGGTTACTTGTGAGATAACTCTTAATAACTTCAATTTTTTTTATGGTATAGTAACAAATTACCATGCTAATATTCTTGTAACCATTAATGAATGGCGCAGCTTTAATTGTTTGGGTAAAAATTAGCAAAAAAATAAATATGATCAAACGTTTACTAATTAATTCAAGATATATTAGTAAAAACATCTTCACGTATAATATGTATTAAAAATTTGCTTATAATAATTTCCGAATAAATTTGTAAAGAAAGATTCATTAGGGTTAGAGGCATTGTTTTACTAATACATCACAAAATATTGGACATATTAAAATTTAATTAGAAAACGCTGAAAATGAAATCATACATTTTTTTAATTTATAGAAAACGATTTATATATTCTAAAAGTAGCACCTATGAGCATAATTTGAATTGATAGGATACTTCAATAACAAATATCAAACATCAAATAAGAAAAAAAAATAAAAATAAATTATAAAGCGCACACATCCTATATGTAAATTTTTCGAATACGAATTCAAATTACATCAAACTCTAACATAGATATCGAACGTCAAATTTTTATTTTTTTAAAAATAAAAACAGCACAACAACCATTTTTTCTATTAAATTAATAACAAAGATAAGTGGTACACAATTTTTTATTTTATTTTAGAGATAAAAATCTAAAAACACCACTAGTCCACAACCAACATAAATTAGCACTTCCCTATGAAGTGCACAAAAAAAGAGGGGGAAAGGAACAAATTCCAAATTTAAAGTTAAAAATAACTTTATTATACATATATTATTTAAATTCATTAATTAAACTCTAGATCCGACTTCGATAATAAAAAGCTAATATCCTTAGTTGTTTTCTTTGGTCAAAGATACAGTAACATTTACAAACTCAGCTTTCTCTTTAGCCATGCAATCGGAAATAATCTTTTCATATTTTTGAAACACTAAATCCATCAATTTTGGACCAAATTGATTTATAAGTAAAGGCTCAGCCACAGCTCTCATACATCTTGTCATTTTGTAGCCACCATTGTTACTTTCATAAGAAGAATTATTCCAATTAACTCTTGTAGTTTCCAATCTATTAATAGTAAATGAACCTTCTTTCTCAACTATGTACTTCACTTCTCTTGGTGATGGTGTATAATTAGGAACATCAAATGAATCCACTTTATCTTCTTCTATTAATCCCTACAATGTATAATATAATTATAAAGATTATGAAAAATGGTACTATACACGTCTGGTTCATATTATCTGTCTTTTAAGACTTTGTATATGATATTTTAAAAAAAAAATATGCAATATAATTTTACATAAAAATATTGTCCAAATACTAACATGTATATATTTATATGTATTCGTAGTGTAATTATATCGTTTTTTTATGTTATATAAGATAATATGTATTATTATTAAGATTTTAAATCTTATATTTTAAGGAGATTTATCTCATGATAAAGGAGCAATAACTTTCTATGTTTAGGCACTCTTTGAAGTTATTCATTAGTGTCATTTTTCAATAGTGATAAAAATATATTGGTCTGACATATTTAAAGCTCACAAGTTTTTAAATATTTTTGGCGTTTAAATTACATTATTTTATATTAATTTTAAGAGCTTCCATTCTTTTTATATCTTTAATAACTTTTGAGATATAATTTTAGAATTGTACGTAAATGATACACCATTTGAACAACCTTCTCTCTTGTCAACAAATTACTTTTGACTATATGTATATTAAAATTATTTTTTTATTCTTATTTAATTATCAAACACCGTCATATAAAATAAAAAATAGAAAAAAACATTCATCAAAGAGCTTACCTCAAAAACCAATTCATTAAGGACCATTGCTAGAAGCTCCCAAATATAACAACAATATTCTTTGATAGAAAGATCTTCACTTTCTCTTCCTAAAAATGTTAACACCATTTTTCCACCTTTCATCAATTCCTCTGAACGATATTTCAAAAAATTTGAAAAATCATTTTCAAATTGCTTGTAATATGCTTTTATATAACTTTGTGGACTTGTACTTGTAATGTAAATATTTCCCTTGTTCTTTTCAATAAAATTAGGAACCTGATATATAGATAAATACAAACAAATAATATTAGAAAAAGACTTAATATAATATAATTAGTCAAATGTTTAATTAATCTTGGTAAAAAAAATGAAACTTCTTTCTAATCTAATTTTATATTCTTGAAGAAACATTGATATTGGTGCAAAGATGATTAGTCGAACACCCTTTAAAAAGAGACAACTCCAATCAATAACAAAATGTAAAATCATGGATATATAAAAAAATATTTTGATTTATTTCATGATTGAACTATTTAAATTTGTGTCACAACTTAATTAGCTCTAACTTATTTCCAATAGGGCAATTTTTTTTAGGAAGAACTTAATCCCCATTGAAAGGATTATATATATATAGTATGGATATGAATTAATCTGGTCAATAAATTTCAAATACGAATAATTTTAAAAAGGATTAAAAGAAAAGGAGTGATAATTTATATAGTAAACATACCTGAGATAGCCAATGAACACTATAAGAGGAGTGAACAAAATGCAAACTCTTTGAAGGAAAAAGTCTAGAATAAAATGAACCAGCCACACCACTAAAATAGCATGGACCAAATCCTTCTCCAAATTGCTTTCTCAAATCATGTTCAAATTCTCCCAATGATTGAAAAATAGTGTTAAAATCATTGCTAGGAAGATCATTGAAGAGATAATGAAACTCTGGTGATTGAAATCCGTGCTTTTTTCGTTCTTTCTCGATAATTTTAATAAGCTCTGATACCACTAGGAAAGAGTTCGCTCCAGAGGAACAGCCCAAATCAGCAATACATAAGTTTTTTGGGAAGAGGTTGCAATAGAGATCACTCATGGCTTGTTCTATTATTGGTTTTGTCATGACAATAACCTTTCTCTGTTCATTAAAAAAAAATAAAAATTACAAGCTATGTTGCATGTATTTTTTATTAATGAATATAATTATCCGCATGTTGGATCCTTCAAAAGCTATGCGATATTTTAAATTCTGGCACATATACAATTAGAGGTGGATTCAAAATTTGAAGTTTATGAATTCCTATTGTAATCTCGAACAAACTACAAGTAACTAAATAAGAATATAAGCTTTACTTAGTGATAATACGATGTAAACAAAATTTACACCTTCGAATTATTATTATTATTATTATTATTATTATTATTACCTGAACCAAAGAATTGTTTGCATAGCTAGTGTCTCCAATTCCTCCATTCATACGAAGAACTTCTACAACCTTCATATCTTTTTTTTTTCTTGATTGATATTTCTGTTTTTTTTTGTTTTTTTTTAATGTGGAAAATGTATATAACCTATTTATAGAAAAAAAAAAAGTGGGAATGCAAGTTTCTCCATTGAACTTAATTATTTCCAATATTATCCCTCACATTTATGGATGGATCTATTTAGGGAAATTCTTTCAAAATAGCAAGACATTGGACACTCCCTCTTAAAAAAAAAATTAAAGAATGAAGTAGAGTTTTAGGTGTGTTCGGTATGAAGAAAACTGTTTTTTCATGGAAAAGATTTTCTTGAAAAACAAGTGAATTTCAAATTTATTTTCTCAAGTTTAGTTTGTAAGTAGAAAATATTTTTTAATGTTTGATTGGTGAACGAAAAATATTTTTTAAAGTATCTTTTATTTCTGATTTTATTAGACTAAAAATGCTCTTTGGGAAAATATTTTTGAACTATAAAGCAACCTCGATAATTAATTTAGGACTCCACCCCAACACCAAAATTAGGACAATAGCCCGAAGATCGTTCCAACATTTAAGGTCAACCAAACATGGAAAAATTAGAAAATATTTTCCATAAAAAATGTTTTGCTTAATTTTGGAAGGGAAATTAGTCATTTTCTTTAAATTTGAGGAAAATGAGTTGATTTGGAAAACATTATTCAAACATTTTAAGGCAACCAAACATGAAAAAATTAAAAAACAAAATGTTTTCCTGCATACCAAACATGTCATCTATAGGATAGTTCGCTTAATTATGAATAATAGCAAAATGTTAGGGGAAGAGGGAGGAGAAGTGGCGGTGAGATTTGGTAGAGAGAGGAGGGTGTATCATTTTGGATGATAAAAAGTACAAATACAAATTGATTTGTGTGAAAATGAATACATAATAAGAGGAGAGAGGCGAGCGAGATTGGGAGAGGCGAGTGAGATCGAGAGAGGGAGGGAGGAGAGAGGACTATACTTTGTATTTATTTTGCATTTATTCTTTATTTATTTTGTATCGATTGTATCGAAATACAATGATTGTATTTTATATTTATTGTACATTGTATTCTTTATTTATTTTGTATTAATTGTATCGAAATACAATGAATCCTCTCTTTGATTGGATAAAATACAATTGATAGAGAGGATAAATGCAATGACTATAAATACAACTGATACAAAATATAATTTTTCGAATACAATTAAAATAAAATACAAAACTCTCACATATATTTGATTAAATACAATTAGTGAATTTCTTCTTATCGACATGTATGTGCGTGAGAGAGAAGGGCGAGAAAGGAAGTGTTTACTATAAAACAGATCCTTTTTTATAATATTTTTAAAATATAGCTATTTTTCGTAAATAAATTGTTAATTTTAATTAGCTACATAATTTCTCATATATATATATGGAATAAGTGGTCCAAAATCAACTAGTCACACCCTAAATATACCAATTATATCAAATGGTATATTAAATTTTCAATTAACGTTATATAATTAAGAATTAGAAATATATTATTGATTGAAAAAAAAAGGCAATAATAGTATATTATTGAATTAAAAAAAAAGCAATAATAGTACAAATTAGTATATTATTGTTTGCAACAAAGACAATTTCATTTTTTCCTCTTTTCATATATATTATTTTCGAAACATGTCAATCAATATCCTTATCAAAATCATAGGTCTTGAAAAAGAGGTCTCCCTTTCATTATTTTGTTATCATGCACTTGGGCTCCACATATTTTTGCACAATTATAAAATAATCAATTTCACAAAAAAAATGAAATTGATTGATATATGATGATTCACTAAAATTTCATCCTATAAGATCATTAATATTGTATATTGAATCTGATTAGATGACAAATAATAATTTTGGGAGCTTTCGGATTAGTTGCCCTTGGTCTGGTCCGTGTAGGAGTTTGTTTCGATAATAAACACTCCTCATTTCTAATTTGAAAATTGTGACTTCGAGTCAGGAGAAAAGAGGTGGAAGTTCTTAGAGGAGGATAAAAAAAATCCTTATACAATTTTAGTTATAAAATTAGACCTTAAATAAATATTCATGGACATTATATTTTTCTGAAAATTAATTTATCTTTATTTCATCGAACTATATATATTTGGTGGACCTTTATTTATTTTACACATTTGTTATGATTGCAACGTTTATATATGTTCTTGAAAACGTGTTCATTGTAATTTTCACAAACTACTCTTAAAGAATTAATATCTTATATTTTTGTGTAGCTTTTTTAATAATTTACATTTTAATATTGAATAGAATCGTTATTCTACAATTATACAAAATGAAACAAAAAAAAATAATTTAAACAACAATATAATAAATATTGAAATATAGATTATTAGATCGACTCGGTATATAAAATTTATAATTAATTGATTACACCTTAATTTGTTCATAAATTTTGAAGTTGAATTTTGAAAGTTTGAGTTTTTGACATCATACTTTTTGGAACTTAGAAGTGACATTTGAGTAATGGATTTTATTTATTAAAAAAAATAAAAAATAGAGAGTGAAATAAAAGTCTTTCCTCATATTATCTTTTGAAACTTTAATGTTTTTTTGAAGATAAATATTTTAAAATTAATCCAAAATCTTATCTTGTATCAAAGCATACACACCTCCAAAGGTAAAAATTCGCAATTTAATTTAGGGAAAAAGGATGAATGTAATCTCAAATTATTATAAATAATATACAGATATATTTTGCTATACTTTTCAGATGTTGGTGTTTTCATCGTAAGAAAATTAGAATATATATATCATTTATATTAACGGATGTACACGTGTCATAATATTATCGATATTGATGTTTCTGCCGTCAAAAAATTAGAGCATATATATGTCATACTAACGGACATACACGTGTCATAACATTATCCATCGACCCGATATTTATTAGATATCGAATCGACGGATAAGATTGTGTCACGAGTCCCATTTAGTCTTCTGTTAGAGTAAAGACATATATATGCTCTAGTCACTATATCAAAAAATAAATTTTTAGCGACAATTAATTAGCAATTGCTGCTAAATATGTACTTTTAGCGGCAATTAGCATTCTTTGTATATATCCATAAAAGGTTTGAGCGATATTGGATCCAATGATACTTAACTAAACTTTGTCACTCTATATTAATATGTCTTTTTATTGTGACTAAAAGTTATTTTTATTATAGTGAGTCTTTGGACGACAAAAATATTAATGTTCCAAAAGTAGTTTGAGAGTATATTTATCTTTTTTATTTTAATTTAACTAGAAATTTTTACCTCAAAAAGTTACATAACTTTGTTTTGTGACACAAAATTACTTACTGATAATATTTATTATCTCATAAAATCAAAACAATTAACACACAAATAATGCAAAAAAAAAAACAATTAGCACACAAAAATAATGCAAGTTTCGTTCAATTCACCTTGAAAACAGCACTTTAAAAATGTACTATATATCTACTACCCTAGTACCCCACCATGTGAGGAGGTATTTAATTTTTTTGGATTTGGTCGAACAAATAGTAATCTTTTTTTATATAAAAAAATGTTTAATTTAATTTAGTAATTATAAAATTCAAAAGAATTAATTATTTCACAACTCAAAGTATTTGATAACTAGTTAAGATGTAACACAAACATAAATAACATTGTGGTCCATAACATAACAAGTTAATATAATTAAAGAACAAAAATATGTAAAAAATGATTGTTTTTGCGATACTAAATTATGAAAAAAAATTAATTAATCTAATCATCGAAAAGACCAAACATAGCATCATCCTCTTCAGATTCCGCTTCTTCTTCCTTCTTATCTTCAGTCTCAACGATACCTTGAGAAGTTGTAGCAGACTCAGAAACCACAGCAATTGCAACGGCAAACTTACTAGGATCCTACAATAATTTTAAGAGAAAAAAAAGTCAAAATTAATAGAACAAATAATAAAAGGAAAAAAAATAATTAAGTATTAATTATGGAGATATTGTTTCTGATAAATCAGCATCCAGTCGACATACGCATATAAAGTAGGAAGCGAATAAACGTAAGAAAGTCACTTGGTAATTCTTTGTAACGGCATTAAATATTTACATTAATAAAGAATGTTAAAGCCTTTAGCACCATCAGTTAAGTGTCATTAGAACCAATGTCGCTAAAGGCTTTAAGGACATAATTGCCGCTAATAATTATTTTTATTGTAGCGTATCAATGTACATAACAAGGTCACTAATCCTTCGTAATAACATCAATGGCTAACACATGCTATAATACTATCAACATAGTGTTAGGAAAAATACTACAATATTGATATTAGATTAGAATTATAAATTAGTAAATTATCACAAATACTGTATCATGGCCGGCTCAAATCCGATGCAAATCAGAGCAGCCGGTCACTCCCCAAGGTACCACAGTTACTCTCAAACACGTGCACTCGTGGCTAAGAGTTTGTTTATGTTGGTAGTGTGTTTTTATGCTCACTCAAACTACATCTTTATATAAATGTTGCAAATAGGAGTTTCAAAAGAAAGAAGTGAATTTTTAAGAAACGTAGGTAAAATCTTAAGTCATTACATCACACTTTAATAAAAATATAATTTGAAACGAATAAGTCAATTCTTTTGTAACGTAACATTTTGTATACTTTGCATTACTCTTAACACATAACATAACAAGATCACTAATTATAACATCAATTGCTAACACAAAAAAAGAGTTGAGATCAATGAATTACCTTGAGATATTCTTTGACTTGTTGAGCTTGTGGATATGTATACTCAGTCTCAACAGCAACACCCAAAACATTCTTATAACCATTAACAATCATGTGTGGTGCAGCAGCAAGTGTTGGGTAAGAAATAGCCAAAGATAAAGTGGTGATCATTGTAACACCAGCAGCAAATTTTTCAACAAGGTCTTCATCAGTTAAGTCCAATACTTGTGGGCTAAAAACTGATCCATTATCATAAACAGAAATAACAACAAGCCCATAAGAAAAAGGCCTTATTCCAAGTTTTGATAAAAGGGCTGCTTCTGATGAGCCCACTTTGTCACCCTTCTTTATTAGTTCAACTGGGGTAATGATTTCAACTGTTCCCTTATTGATCTTTGTGGCAATGTTGAGTACCTAAATACAAGCGGCGGATTCAGAATTGTCATAATATACGACCTTAAGAAATTATAACAATACGATAGAATAAA